TAAAGCCTGCCAAATTGAAATGCTAATAAACTCTCAGGGACTGGGAGGAAAAAAAAGTTTAATCATTTCCAATCACAGCGGTCTGCGAAGAAGTAGGTCAAATATAAAACTGAAGTAAATCCTGTTGAGAAGGGAGAGCATTTTCCAACGAGGCTAGGGTGTGGGACTTGGAACAAATTCCGACAGCGGCCCAGTTTCTGGGTGTAGACCGCTAAGCGACCTACAAATCCTCCACCCCTGGTAACTCCAATTGTTGACCTCTGGCACTTAGCTCATAAAAACAGAAATAGCTATTTTATTGAACAAAAGGTAAGGGCGCAAACGAGCTGGTGGTGGTTAAACATTTCGACAAAAACCCCGAGACTGGGACAAAAAGGGACGGACAAACACAAAGTCTCTTTGAGACTTTGTGTTTGTCCGTCCCTTTTTGTCCCAGTCTCGGGGTTTTTGTCGAAAAGCTATTTTATTTTGCTTGTCTTTTCTTTGCATTGTTTTGTGCTTTTGTTATATTTTTGGATAGCTTTTTTTTTTTTTTTTTTTTATCCCGACCTAGTAATAGCATCCTGCTCGAGTTTTATTCTCATCCACAGACACCCTTATCATGCTGGCCACATTGCATCTAGTGTTTCCCCGCGCTCCATATGCCCGACTTCCTCCCCAATGCCCATCATATAGCCGTTCATTAAAGGTTTTTTGCACTCTCTCTTACCAGCTTGCCACATAAATTGAGCGTTTTTTTTTTCGTTTCAATGATTAATTCTTAGAAATTATTATTGACGTGATAAACTTCATGGTTGACAAAATATATCAGTTCAAGAAATATATTAATTTGTGCTTTGAAAATAAGCTATTACCAATTTTATTTATACGTTTTATTGAAATTGGTTGTTCAATGCCCCTCGCATTATGTTGACTGCGTAGGACGACGATGTTCCTTTTCTTTAACGCCCTATTTGAAGACCAACCGAATACGGATTATTAACAAAAGTGAAAATTTACGGACGCCACTGAAACAACTCAATTTCTTGTCTCGACATAGTGGGACGCGCCTGTACTGATCATAACATACGCCCCCCATGAAGACGCGCGCTTTTGAATTATACCACAAGAAACTATTCTTCTGAGGATATCTTTCCTTCTCTGTTTTATACCTAATGTTGGTCACGTCTCCGCGTTGGACTTTTGAGCGCAGTGCGACTGCGTAATACGTAAAAACAACTTCGAAATTAATCGATTTTTTCTCTGACTCAGTGAGCCACACATTTCAAGTAACGGATGTGCCGCCGGGAACTGGTTTCAGTGTCATTTGTGCTAGCGTGCCTTGTTCGCACAACTTACAACTCTCGCGCGACGTGGAGGCAATTCACTTGGAGAACGCAGGAAACGAAATTACGTCCTTCAAACCGAGGGGGAAAATATTGTCGTTTTTTTTTAATAACATGAACACACTAGATTACTTTCATTAGCCATGATTATGCCCTTTGCCGCGCGAAATCCTGTGCTTATGTAACGTACAAATTAAAAACAGTAATATGTGACCCTCGAATGTCAAGTGTACTACCTAAAAATAATTAACAGGATTATTTTATTCTATGTTAGCGATATATCTTTCAAGCACTTCTTACCAGAGTGTCGAACGGACATTTTGTTTATTTTGCTTCATAAACGTCACCAGATATACTCTGTAAAATCAATTATGATCCTAATTATTTTACTATTTGTAAGATAGTACTGGGCGTTTGTGATAAAAAAATACTAGTGTTCCTTGTCCCACGTAAATAAACGGAACATCGCAAAATCCTGAAACGTCTTGGGAATCTGACAATAAATTTTCGATAGACAGCGCAAGTTCGAGATTATTGCGTTTCTTGAATAAAAAAAAAATTGAAGAGAAAAGCGAAGCTTTCCTATGAGCCAAGGTCCACCTAAGCCTACCATCGTCCAAAAAGGGAATGACATTATGGGTGTCTTTAGCGTCAGTTCCAGAAATAAAACAATATTATCTTGCTTGCTGACAACTGTTTTTCACTGATATAGGTGCCAAATGCGTCCGCAATCTCAGTTCTTGTTATGACAATATTAGGTTTGAGTGAACGTTGGCTCATAGAAACAATTTGCCTTCCGGAATTCTTTTTTCATCCAAGTGACTTAAGGTTTTCAACTTTCGCGTTCTATTTCAACCTACAGCATGACATTCTCACAGAGTCTGAACTTTCTTTCTGTGATTCGTAGTTCATTTACGCAGGTTGAAAAACGCGGTTATTTTTACCACGAACGCCCGGTACAACTGTGTTTACTGCGCGACACTGTAAGTACAAACACGATTTCGATGCTTACTCTTATTTACTTCAAAACGATACTCTACTTAGGTTGGTGCCGCAAGCACGTTTCAGTTTTGTATATCAGTTTTGATGACAGTCCTAAAGTACTGGGAGAAAGTAAGAGAAAAGGGGGATCTTGGCTTCTTCCCGCTCACGGTGTCTTGGAGTGTACCTAGAATATTAAAACTTTGGAGATTTAAGCTGTCCTTCGGCAGCGGCGGGTTCAATACGTCGTGTTCAGGTCCTCCATTTCCACACGCCCCGAAATACTAGTAACAATATAAACGCCGTTCACTTTAAACCTACGAATACACAGATCCGATCCCTGTATTAAATTCAATGAAACTAGCAAGTGACGTGTTAATAAAGAAACATCCTTGCTTTGAAATGCGACCTGCACTGCATAATTTCAGATCGCTTTTCAAAGTGCGGGTCGCATGTTTAACTTCTTCAATGCCTCAGAGTAGATTCACCGAAATTGCACTTTTCAATAACCAAATGGGAGCTGACAACGACTGAGCTTGTTCAGCAGGTATGTTTACGTCAAATAGGCAGTATGAAAAACCCATATGGACGAAGAAGCACACACCTATTGGGGGGGGGGGGGGGGGGGGGGTGTCCCCCGTTTCTTTTCTTTAGTGTCCTTGGTATTAAATTATGCAAGATTCCTCCTCGTCTGTCTAAATGGCTGCTGAAATTCGCACAGGTGAAAAATCTTCGCATATGGTAGAAGGTGACATTTTAGGAAAGTCTTTTCGCCAGGGCTTTTTAAACATCAATCAATATTCCATAGTCAAAGCAAACTTCAGGTTGCACCAGTATGTTTAACAACTTCAAAGACAGTTGCCAACATTTATATATATAATCAAGCTCCCTTGTATACCTTATTTTATTTACATTCTAAGATGAATATAACATTTTATGTATTTGAACTATTCAATTTTCTTTTTAAAAATGCCCTAAGTTTGAGTGTAAAAAATGAGACGTTTACAAATCTCTGGAAGGCCAAATTAAAGCGCAGCTCTTGAGGAGGAGGAGGGGCAGTTATGGAGGGGAGGGTATTGCCCTGCTCTTCCTCCATACCCTCTCCTACTCCCCTCATATCCTCCCCCTCTCTTCCGTCTCTCATCCTCCCCTCCTCCTCCTCTTCCCTCCTTCCCCCATCCTCCTCCTCCGTACCCTTCCCTCCTCTTCCATACCCTTCCCTCCTCCTTCAGTTTCCGCACTAAATTTAGCTGGAAAATTGACGCAACGTGACCTGAACATCAATTTAGTTTCCCCGCTAAATTTAGTGGGGAAAATGACGTCACATGACTTCGTGTCACGTAACCCATGAAAACATTCAGTTTCTCTCTAGATGTAGAGAGAAAATTGACGTCACATGACCTCAACACCAATTCAATGTCCCACTAAATTTAGCGGGGAGGTTATGCCGACGGCGACGGTGACAGTGACGACGACGCCGACTGCGTCTGCGACACCGATACACCCGGAAATGGGTGCCTAAGAGCTGCGCTGTTAAAGCTGTTAAGCATGAAAACCCCTGTGCATCAAACTTAGCAACTAGTTTTTGGAATTTATTCTGCGTGATGTGAGAAAACAAGACATGTTTGTCAAGCGTTTCATATCAATAATGTCTATATTTACCTTTTTGTTTCATCCATTCTTCACTAACCACAATGAGTGACTACGGGGCCCATGTAAGAATGAGCATGAATTGAAGAAGTAAGTGCCCATCTTGGATCTCGATTAAGATGCACACTGCACACCACAGTTTCTACGTTGAAATCTATATATATAATATTTTCGAAGGTGGAAAAAGCAAAACAAGAAACAAAAAGAATATATGCGACATAGCAGAATATCGTTTGCATTAATTCAAAATAAAATATTTAAGCATCGGTTACAGCGAAAATGTCCGGCGTTGTCAAACATTAAAGGGATACTCCAACAAAATTTCGGCGCTCATTTTTTGGTCTATATGTGTTCAAAAAAGCAGCATCACATCGAACATACCATTATCTTGTTAAAAAAGTCAAGAAAAGGAATTTTAAAACTTATTAAACGATTAGCAAAGAGCACCTGGTGGATGTCGCTAACGCCTCCCTTGCAATGCCCGTCTAGGAACCTTGACAGCTAGTGACGGAGGTTGTCTCGCCTCCGGCCACGACGAGAGAAGAGGGGAAGGAGGAGCTCCCCTCTTCCCGAGAATGCCTTTTGTTTGTCACAGAAGTCGCTATTGTCCCCCTACAAGATTACAGAAGATTAACTCAAAATTCGTACAAAAGCAGCCGCTTCGGTGGCTGGAACGACTAGGCCATCCTCTCGACGTCAGCCTCGCCTTAGCTTTGCTCGTCCTGAGACGACCTACGTCACGATTGCGTTGAATGTCACGTGGTCTCCGCTGGGCTTTCTCCGAGCGCTTGCCAGAGTGGGCCGTTTATAACGAAAAGTACAGCCACCAGGCTCAAAATAAAAACGTGCGATTGTCATTTACGGATATTGTGGATCATATTTAACCTATTTTTGAACACGACAGGAATATTTCAAATTTCGTTGAAGTATCCCTTTAAAGTAAAGTATTATAAAAAAAAAAGTCGAAGGAAATTGTTTTAACACTATGGCCTCTGCGCACCAGCTCTTGTTTCTCCCGAAACATATCCCACGTTTCAGACGTACTTTCTTCAAGTACCATAAATGACAATATTTTTCTCTATTACTGCACATCTAGAGACGTTGCAAACCAGCAGACATTTTCAATCGTCTCACAAATCAAAAAATGACTGAAGCTCAACTATTAAAATTTTTTTTCTTATTCTTTGATATGCTATGAAAGGGCTTAAAAACAAGCTTTCGCTGAAGGGGAAGGGGTTGTAAAACTGTGATTGAGCTTAATGACAAGCAGCAATCTGTCACTATAGAGGTTAATAAAGTACAGACTTTGAACACGGCAGAAGACCGGTTAGGTATTTGCATCTTGAAACAGAGTAAGAGAACACAGCGTTATTCCGTAAACAAGTCGGACCATCTTCACTTTTCTTTGCATATTTTTTCTAACGTAAGGAATATCTAAAACGATTTTTACTTCTGCTTTCTTTTAAATTAAGATTGCTCGTGCCCTCTCCAGAGTGTGTAGCGTATAAAAGCGCTCGCTCCTGCTCCTAACAACGACACCTTGAATACCAGATTCATCTCCCCGACATCACTTACCATGATTGCGGTAAGCATAGTGTGATTGTTTTTTTTTTCCTGACTACTCATTCAACTTAAACAATGTGTTGATAGTTAGTAAATTTTATGATAAATACACCAACCTCGTTCTGTACGAGTTAAAAGTAAGACATATTCGCCTATTAGTTTTTCCGTGACTTCTAGTTTGAATTTACTGCCATATGATCACACTCTACTACACATGTTTAAAAAGAAACAGGCATCAGGCATATCATCAGTCAAAGTTTCAGCTGGTGCTTGATATTTTTCACCGAGCTTTTTATTTTTTACCAATAACAAAAAACATGATCATTTAATTCAGATCGTTACGCCTTCTATTTCCGTAGTTCATCGCCACTCTACTCCTGGCTATAACCACCAGTGCCTTTGCCGGTTACGTCCGTCCCTCCTACGGCTTCAGTTATGGCGGTTCCTACGGCTATGAGCTCGGCTGTTCCTACGCCGTCGCCGGATCCTCCGTAGTCTTCTAGGGTGGCAGCTTACCACGCCGCCCCCTCCTACTCCTGCTACTACCAGTCCGCTCCGGTCGGGCTGGCCGAGTACGCCACCTATCACGGCGCTCCGGCAATCACGGCTGTTGCAGGGCATCCAGCGGACGCCACGTATCGGTCTGGGCATAGGGCCCCATCTGAGCCGCCGCTTCTAGTCTCCGGGCTGAACAGATACGCCAGGTACAGCGCAGCCCCTGTTCTTTCCGCCTACCACGCTGTGCCGGCAGTGTCCGGGTTCGCCAGGTATGCCGCATACAATGCCGCTCCTTTAGCTGCTTACCACGCCGCCCCCGCTGTTGCCAACTACCACGCTGCTTCTGCTGTGGCCGCTGTCCAGGGTGTCTCCAGGGTGTCCAGGGTTGATCCATTCCACGCTAGCCACCAGACTACCGTACACGCTGCTCCAGCCGTGGCGGCCGTCCACGCTCCACTGTCTACCGTTGCACACGTTCCGGCCTACACTCTTAGTCCGGTAACGGCTATTTTGACGTGAAAAAGTGCCTCTTTTTTAACGGCTACTCGCGGCGTTACATGTAACGCCGATATTGGCGTTACAAAAGTCACGGCAATATTGACGTGACTTCTGTGGCGCCGTTTAGGCGTTAAAGGCGGCAGACACTTCTAGGCTTAAATTGACGTAAAAAATGTGACCCCTCGCAACGGCTAATAGCCAATTGGTTGCAATGAAAATTAGTGTTACAATCAAAAATACCGTTGTTCGTATATACCTCTCCTAAAAAGCAAGGCGGCGGCATTCGATGTCTAATCTGTTCAATGATGCTAATGTCGGTAAACGCTTTCGAACCCGAAATGCGAGCTCCAAAGGGACAAATCACTAAGTATTATCCCCGCGTGCTTTGCGCTTCTTGAGCAAAAATACGTCACAGTCTCATGCTAATGCTTTTTTTTCGTTTTTTTATGGCGGTCGGAGCACAAATAAGAGACTATACGCAAAAACCGTATGTCAACTCGAAATAAACTAACAAGAATCGAAAACAAGAATAACTGAGTTCCAAAAATTTATTGCGGACGTAAAAAAAAAAAAAAAAAAAAAGTTTGAATCTCATGATTGTGGCGACAGTGGAGTACATCACGGCAATTTCGGTCTTTATATTTATGAGAGGCTTAAGCCTTTTTTTATCTTTAAGGGTGGACAGAATGCAAACAGGAAACGGCGTTCTATTTCTGAAGACGGTGGAGTTTCTGAAGATTGTTGCGGAGCCTCAAATTAATCCAGCGAGGTTCAAAGTTTTCGGCGGGTTTAAGCACATTTTGTAAATTCTAAAAACAGGCAAACGCTCACCTAAAAACTCAAGACGCCCATGGCTTGCAGGAGCGTGAGCACAGTATAAGCACCAGCCGAACGGAGATGGAACGTTCCCACTTCCACTGGGGCCACGTGTCTCTCCCACAAACTCCTAACAGTCACAACCTTCCTGGCGACAATGGCCGCGCACTATGCCACGAATGTCTCCGGATGTGAACATCGCAGCGAAACTCTTCCTTCCGGTTCGTAAGTTCGGAGACAAAGACAATGGCGAGGCACCGAATCCGACTCCGACACTCCGTGAGTCCCTTGCGCGCCTTGTCGTGGCGAAACAAGAAGCCGTGGGTCAGTCCAAAAATCGCCGAGTCGCCGACTCCGCCGCCCCCTCCTTCCCCCTGAAAAAGTATAATGGAGAGGTCCCTCCTGACACGTTCCGTCGTGTCAAGGCCTGTCCAAACAGGATACTACAAAACTCACGACTCCGGCAAATCGTGCCGAGCTCCGCTTCCGGCCGTCGGAAGGAAATTTCCCTCCGTCAAAGCTCCCGGGGGGAAACTTCCCTCCGTTAAATCTCCCCCTCGCTTCCTCCACGGCGGCCTTGCTCTGGTCATCACGTGGGTCCGGAGACCCACTCACACGCTTTGTTGGCTGTCGGTCAATCGCTCAAGGCCTCCGCTCACAATACGGAACCGCGTCGGACTCCATCACGACGAAAGTGAATCTCGACAAAGAAAGCAGATCCGAGGCGGGTGAAACGCACCCTTCGACGCAGGAATGTCCCAAATCCACCCGAAGCCGGACCCCCTTGGCCTTCGAGCCGAGGCGACTGCGGTACGTGAGGGCGTTGGCAAGGTGAGCCAGACGCTGTGACGTCAGAGAAAAGTGGAGGAGGCGAGGAGAGAAGTCGTGATCGTGGAAATTTTCACGACTGCTGCAAAAACTTTTACGACTCCGACAAATCGTAAAAATAGAAGTGTCCGCTTCGATTTTCACGATTTGTCGGAGTCGTGTGTTTTGTAGTGTTCTGTTTGGACACCCCTTTAGCCGTCGTTAGACCGAATGCTCTCGCGCCAGACCTTCAAGGTCAACCGTGTTCGGGCCCCGCGACCGGCGCTTTCTCGGTTTGTTTTGCTCGTAGCACTGCCAACGCACGCTGTCTCCGGCGAGACCCGAATTTTGATATTGTACGTTTATTATTTTTGTGCTCTGAATTTAGCCGTTACTCGTTCTATCGGCGTTACATTATCAGCGTGACAAATAGCTTGTCACGGCAATAAATGATGTTGTAACGCCTAAGTTGTCTAGGATGACGTGGAAACGCTGGACTGTCATGGCTACTTTCAGGGTCACTCTCTTGTCATACCGAAATCCACCGTATGACACGCCTAAATAGGCTGTAGCCGTTTCATTAGCCGTTACCGGACTAAGAGTGTACGGACCATATGGATACGAAGTTGGCGCTCTCCGATACGGTCATGGCGTCAGCACTCTCGGGTACGGGCGTTGTCTGTCCACTTATGGTCACAACTATGCCTCTGATCCGGATGGCCTCAACTACAAGACTCTCGTTCACAGGAAATGTAAGTTGACGGTTGTAATGTAAAGTCATTATTTGCCTAGCCCAGAAACATTGTTATCGTGCGTGAAATGTGTAAAAGCATCTTAACTGATTTTCTTGTGCTTTTCCTGTTTCAGAAAAGAAGCTACCACGTATCTAGGACATAGACATCAGAATCCAATCACGAATGACTTTTCTCAAGTTGAAATAAACATTCAAACGTTATCATTATCATACAGCCATCTTGTTTGTTTTTGTTTTTTTCTCATCAGCCTGCTAACGCCAAGATCATCTGTATCAAAGCCCAAGCTTTCAATATGTATAATACTACTATTTTGAAGAGGCAGTGGTGTACTATTTCATTTGTCGTAAGCAATCGTCTCAAGAAGCATATCTTGTAAATCAATTTCTAAGCATAATTAAACCTTTTTTTTTTTGTCAATCGGGGTTTTTGTTATGTTTTGGAGGAGAGGTAATTTCTGAGGCTCACAACCTTTTCCTACTCGAATATATATTTTCATTATCCTACCGGACGGTTTTGCCTTTTAGCATAAGAGATATAAAATGTACTGAAGTCTTGTTTGCGACAAATATTACGCGTCGCTTGGCTTGCCAGGGACTGAATATATTACATTTATAAACCTCAAGCGGAAGTTGCTGAATCGTAACCTAAAAAAAAGGCTGCGTGTTTTTACAAATTACACCACTGCCCAGATGTTATTGGAGGGAGATTATCGCACCCAATAAGAAAATAGCGACTTGGTTCCCCACCGCCGATGCCGGCATCCGTCTTACGGACTATTTAAAGTAGCAGAGGTTGTCTCAGAAAACAATATTTCTACCTAATAGCGACCTAGGCAGAACACTGATCTCTTTAACTGCAGGTTAGATTGCGAACAAAGTTTATCAGCAGTGACAATAGGAAAATTTTTGATGTCATGAAGTACTAGTATTTCATTGTAGAAGTGTGTGAACGGTGCTGCGCCTCCAGCTTTCAGTTTGTACCCGATCATAAAGCTTGGATAGTGGTTAAAAAAAACACAAGAAATCACTTGTGTCTGCATGCAAAAAGTTTTATGTTTTGGCCTCTTCTACAACAAACAGCTTACGGTTCGTGGTTGGTGGTTTCAACTCTTTGGGGCAAATTATTAGTCTCCCGTTTAATACACTACAAATTGCTCGATGTCACAATGAATACCTATTTTGCTTCTCGGTTTATATCTGAAAGTGAAAAAGATGTCGGAAAACCTTCTTACGCGAGTTTTGAGCGCCACTGGTGGAGAGGTTTTAAAATTAAGTAAAAATAATCCCTCAATTGCGCCAGGCAATTCAATATTTTAAATCTTTATAACTGATGGTAACACAGCAGGTCGTCCAGTGTGTACAACTGATTGTTCGCAGTGTTCAGAAACAATATAATTCATTAGAGTTATTTACAGCGGTTATCTGTATTTCCTGTAATGGCAGCCGATGGGCAATATGTGACGGTCGTCGTTACCGAGTAAGTTGTCTACGCAACGACGGTGGAGAGGGTAGCCCATCACCACCGAAGCAAGGGAGCTTAGCTTATGTGAGGTCACCGCGATAGAATGTGAACCAGCGCGATGGTGGCGAAGCGCGCTTCACGTGGTCGAAGTGGAATTTCCCTGTGCAGCTGGCGGCTTACAACTCCGGAAATCTACAAGTGTCTGATAGGTGGATTGGATAAATATCAAGAGCGGGCTGCAGCGGCGCTGTCCAATGTGGTAAATCTAGGATGCCACCGAAGCATGTTCGCGAACCGGAGAAAGACGTACGCAAACAAAAGCGGGCCAAGGCGACGCGGCATCGCCGGACCATCCAAAGTGGTTCATGTTTCAGACTCAGCGGTAGGAGGCATCCTTCCAGTATGATCCGCTGCAAAACACTAAGGCGACCACCTCCACCTTGTTCGCAGGGTATACGCCGGAGAGCTTATGCATTTGTTATTTTTAACACAAAGTGTGTTTTATCAGCAGACTGTTTTGAAAACCCCCTCGCGAAGATTCGTCACGTCAATTTCTGTGAGGCTGTTCTGCGAGGTAGCAATTTAGGCTTAACATATGCTGTGCTCTGCGGTCGTTGTCGGCATAGACAAGGTCGTGCGATAAACGAAAACGACAGCCAAGGCTTGCGTCTACTGAGCGGAATCAACTTGAACGCTATGAACTGTCTGCTTACGGTAAAAATGAAACGCGCCTTGAGTTCCGTGTGTCAAACATGTTGACAGAAATAAACTAGGATAACCCAAAGGTGGGCGTCACTTTTCCTATAAAGGATTTGTTCATGCTCACATGAAGGATCTCTTGATCGATAATCGACTACATCATATCCTACACATATTAAAGCAAGACCATTTCTCTTCCACATGGCGGCTCGTTCACATTTTGATTTTGACTTTTAATAGGGAAGTTGCGAGCTTCGGTGGTTTCAATGTTGATTTTACCAAATTTTAGGCTCGCTTTACTGCCTGTTTCTTTTTTTTTCTTTCCCTTATTTCATTTATTAGTGAGCCTCTGACCACCTAGAGAATTTTTTTTAAATAAACTGTCATATGTTAATTTCTGTCTCCTAAGGCATCTATTTTATGTCCTCTATTCTTTCTGGCTGTTTCAGAGCTAAACAAACGCGGGATACTATATATCCGAAGGCGCCTAAGAACTTCTTATAGGTTTTAGATGAGAAAGAACAAATGCCCAATTGAACGCCGCTGAGTGCTGGCGTGGACGGCCACGTTTCAAGGATTGCTCAACTGACTAGCACAAATTAACCTTAGCCGACTTCGAAGTTACTTAGCTCTAGCATGAGGCAATTCAACGGACATAGTATTTTAACGTTAATTGGCTTGGCTTGACATAAATTCGGGGCTTGTAAAACCGCCGACTGTATGTCATTGCCAAGCGAGATATAAGCGTTCAGGACCATTCAAGAGGGACGAGGGTTGTTTTCCTGTAGCTCAAGGTTCGATACAGGCACGTAGCCAGGATTTTGTTTCGGGGGGAGGGGAGGGGGGTTGCCCATGACAAAATGCTGTATGAGGGGGAAGCGGGAGAGGACATCCCAGCAAAATGGAAGATTTCGGGGGGCTGCCTGGGCTCCATGCTCTCCCCCCCCCCCCCCCGGGCTACGTGCCTGGTTCGATATCTGTTTTTGTAATCTGGGTTTCTTTTTTTTAGAAGTTGGATATGTCTGATTTAGTTCATTCGGCCATGGTGGTTTCTCATAATATTATTCATACAAAGTTACCAGCTTTATTAATTTTTGTGGAAACCCAACAGATGTGCCAGAGCCCGAATTGAAAACAATGACTCCACAGAAAGGAAACCCGTCAAGGATTTTGTTCTTGCTGAGATTGGTGGAGGAATTGTTCAGAGTGGCTTTATACCACTTAGTCGGATTAGTGTCAGTGGCCTACAGAAATAAACTCTTTTGTAAGTGTAGCCCAGCTGTTGTAGACCTACAAAAGTTTCGCCTCTATCCGCTAACCTGAAGGTGAAATCAGTCCGTTTGTTTATAGCATGGACTTGTAATATGTTACTGCCACTGGCAAAATCGCCCAAAGGCGGAAAAGGAGTGGGCCAGACAGAAAGCGGAAGAAGACGGAAGGGAAGGGGGGGGGGGGGAGGGTGTGTGTATAGGAGCGGTAAGATTCTTGGCAAATTGAAGGCACCAAGAATAACTGCCAGAAGTTCAAAGTTCTACCGAAATATAAACAAAATATTTTATTTAGGCACATGTAAGGTAGGACTTTCATTATGTGTGCCTGCTTCTTAAAATGCGAACATTCACAGTAATGCTACGAACGGAGAATCTCCAAAAGGTTTGGATCTACGCATTTCTCATTCGCACGCGCATATTTGACTTTATGGTTTTATTGCTAGAAAGTAATCTGCGCAGATATACGTGAAATAGCGAACACTACGATCAAGCCAGGGGCGCACTTTAGTTGATTTACAATATGATACAAAGAGGCAAGCATAGAACTCCTCATGGTCAGTTTCTGCAAATGTAGCTCAACGTATTGCCTGTTAACCGATCAGTTGATCAGCGACCTCTATCTGCTAAATCTATAATCCTTAGCCGAAATCTTCCTTGAATACGATCTTGTAAATGTAGATGTCGCCAAGGATATCTGATAATCAGCGAACCCCACTTCCAACTCCTCCCTTCGCTTACTATCTAACAGCTCCCCTCTCTGTGGAGCATTGCTGTTGTTTCTTTTAAAAAAAATATGCTTCATATTAAAACAATATAGAGATTCCTTGTACCGATACACCTTATTTGGAAGAGTTCAAGCTTCGGATTGAAAGCGTTCACTTCTGCGAGATATCTAAGCAACCACTCTTCGTTTGTGATCTTAGGCGGATGTCATTATGGTGCTGCCGATTATAAACCAGTAATAAGAAGTCGCACATCAATCAGATTCAGAGAAATCCTGAAATGACTTAATTCCGTGGATCAGAACTGCATTTGTTCCCGAAGCTATAAAACGTAGCAAAACTCACTTTCCTGGTCCTTCAAACATACGTCTTTCTGGTATTCCCCATTGACATAATAAACCTGAGATTGCTACAATAACTGTTGAAAATGGCAGTGATTCCGAACAAAATGGGTACTTTAAACGACGTCAATTATTGATTTTTTCATGCGTCCCCTTGAAAGAAAACAATTACTGATGGATAACGAAATGAATGTGAAAAGCAAACTGTTTCCAGGCGTTCCTTTTTAGAGCCAATATTTCAGATTTCACCAAGACTCCAAATAACCATATTTGTCGCGTCACTACTCCTTGAGAACCTGGGTTTGTGTGTGTGTACGGGTGAGGTCTGTGGGTGATTTGGCGGCGAAGGCGGAGGCTTCATTGTTAGCGCGCTAGGGACCATATAATATTCTTTCGCGCGCCGGAACTGACCCGCGGCTTGCTAATTGCAAACCGCTAGTTTATACATTTCTTTTGGCCGCATGGTCGGGTTTTAAGACGTCTTGTCTAATTGTATTAAGTACAAAGTATACATTTAGATATTTGTAACTTTGAGAAATTGGTTCATTTTACTTCTATCGCCCGGTCACGAAACAAAGTGCAGTTGAAGAGGAACAGTATATATATCAACTGATATTTATGAAAAACCAGCTTGTCTAAAAAGAAACTAATTAGCCTCCATAAGTGATGAACGCTGCTTATTTCGACTAAGAGTTAACCAAAGTAAAAACTTCACTGCTAGTATCTTGAGCTTTGTTAACACAACATCTCATGTTCACTGAGATCGAACAGCAGGTTGATTACACAAAACAAAATCCCAGTTAGATAATAAAAAGACGATGAGGTTTTTATTTACACTTCAAGGGAGAGTCACACTTGAGTAGCCTGCAAGGTATGTGTATATCTTGAAATCTTCGTACGTTCGTTTCTGAAAAAGACGAGAATGGCAGTTAGTCCCATAGCTTATTCAGAATACAAACGTGAGATCCGTGGGCTTGGGTAGCAGGTAAAGAAACTTTTTTTATAATACACAGTTTACGTTATTCTTCAACTTACATTTTCTGTGGGCGAGAACCTTGTAGTTAAGGCCATCCAGACCATATGCGTAGTTGTGTCCATAAGTGGACAGACCATGCCCGTATCCTAGAGCGCTGAGTCCATGACCCTATCCTAAAGCGCCAACTCCGTATCCGTAAACTCCGTAGGCCGGAACGTGGGCAACGGTAGACAGTGGAGCGTGAACGGCCGCCACGGCTGGAGTCGCGTGAACAGTGGTCTGGTGGCTTGCGTGGAATGGATCAACCCTGGAGACCCTGGAGACACCCTGGAGAGCGGCCACGGCAGGATCAGCGTGGTAGGTGGCAACAGCGGGGGCTGCGTGGTAAGTAGCTAAAGGAGCCGCATTGTATGCGGCATACTTGGCAAACCCGGACACTGCCGGCACTGCGTGGTAGGCGGAAAGAACAGGTGCTGCGCTGTAGCTGGCGTATCTGTTCAACCCGGAGACTGTAGAAGCGACGGCGTAGATGGGAGCCCCATGGTAGACACTAGTAAAAGCAGGCGCAGACCGATATGGGGCATACGCTGGATGCGCTGGAACAGCCGTGACTCTCGGAGCGCCGTGATAGGTTGCGTACTTGGCCAGCCCGAACGGAGCAGTCTGGTAGTAGCCGGAGTAGGAGGGGGCGGCGTGGTAAGCTGCCACCTTAGAGACTAGGGGGGATCCGGCGACGGCGTTGGAGCCGCCGAGGCCATAGCCGTAGGAGCCGCCATAACCGTAGCCATAGGAAGGGCGCAGGTAGCCGGCGAAGGCACTGCTGACAATAGCCAGCAGGAGACTGGTCGCGAACTGCGTAAAAACAGAAAAGGTATCACACTTAAATGTACGTTTTAACAAACAAAATTAAAATTCCGTTGAGCGCACATGCTATTTTTAATAAATGTTATTTTGTATGTTCCACTACTAAAATGACCCCTTCGAAACAAGTGATAATAAGTATATCGGCGTGACAAATGGCAAAAGGCTAACAGCAAAAGATAGAAAATTGCATTTTTTTTCCGCAAGAGATGCTTGTTGTACCTTTTTTTAAACACCATTTCTATACAAATTTTATTTATGGTGGCCATTTCAAATAGATTTAAAACAACATATCTATTTATTTATTCATTTATTTCAAATACCCTCAAGGTAATAATACATTGAAGAGGGGAGTGGACATCAAAATAATAATTACAATGCTCACATGTTAGTTGGAACTCTCTTAAACACAACAATATCAGTAATATTAGCTATTGAGGCGGGAAGGCGGTTCCAATCCAATGATGTTTGGGGAATAAAAGAATATTGAAACAACGAAGTGTTAAAATTTGGCATACCGACTTTATGACTATGATCAATGCGAGCAGAGATATAGAATGGTGAGATAATTAGTTTACGACGAAGGTCAGGATTTTGATGAAATATTTTATGGGAAAGACACAGAACGAAATATTTTATGGCGATGCGTTAGTAATTGCAGGCCTAAAGAGGTTTCCATGCTAGAAACGTTACAAACTGTCCAACAAAAATCCCGCAAAAAAAAAGAAGCTCCGAAATGTGCGCTGTCGGTGTTGCGGACAATTAACACATAGATTAAGCTTAACTAGATGTGTTTAGTGGCAGTTTCATAGATTGGCGTGCGAAATTACTTACAGCTCTCATGGCGATGAATGTTGGTTTGATGAATCAAGTATCTTACTGATCGTACTTTGAAGGAGGAACGAACGCGTTTATATAGTAGTGTTGGAGAAAGCGAGTGCCGCCTGAAATAAAAACAAAAAAGCTGAAACACGCTTCAGGAATTTCATTCGACAAAAACGCTAAAAATTAATCAGACTTGTTTACAAGAAAAGTAAGAATCTATTCTCCCAGCATTTATTCCAAAAAGGAAAATTCTGCCAAGTATTTCAGTCGACTTCACAAAACCGAATTCTTGCGAAGTACTTGATTTACCTGTCAAACGTGTAGTGGCACATTGCCATATTATATTTTGGCCAGCCCTTTTACCCCAGCATGAAGATCTTACAACAAACATTTTCACGATGTCTGGATAAATAACCTATATTTCTTTATATTTTCTTATTGGGAGTGCATCAAAGATTGCATTATAAATGAGCGGTTCAAGCAAAGAAAACAGCCAGCTGTTAGGCATCTTTAATGATGACAAATCTCTTCCTTTGAACATTAAGGTTATTTGATACACATTTAATTTAATATTGGGCACATTCACTATAAAATATATTAAGTGTGCCAAATTATAATATTCAGATTATCGTACAATTTTCTTACTTTCTGCAATTTTTAACGTTTCATGGATGCTCCATTCCTGCTGCTTCTCAATTTCAACTGATATAAAATATAAGAAAAGTCGACATTTGCTTACTAATTAACAAAAAATGTGCTCATTAATATTTTGATTTCTTAATATTATGTGTCAGGTTTTAATTGCATGTTTTAAGGCAGATATTTTTAGAAGAAAACCAATTTTTACACTTTAAGAAATTGCAAACGAATTAGAAATTTTATCGATCACATCTTAAATATATTCACATGAGTAAAACAGTATATGCCTCGACTTGGCAGATAAATGCGAAAAAGCACATATAATTTTATATAAAATTTAAAACAATTGAACAATTTACATAGTACTCAGGTTCAAAATCAAGATCCGTGTATTAAAAACATGTTGCGGCATGCACAATAACTAAAACAAATAAAACTAATTTTATTTAAATCCGGGATATCATTAGTAAAAGTAAGCAAAGTAAGCTTAAGAAAACAATAGAATATTAACAAAACTGAGCAAATTAAAGAAAGACTTCCAAACGATGGTGCATCAACATTTTGTCGGACGAACTATCTTTTTCGAGATAAAATATGGTATTTATTAATCAAATTGAAAAGTGGGCTAACTACACCAGTTGTTTCTAAGATAGAGTTGTCGGTTACCGAAAATCCGCCTGACATTAACACGGCTTCGAAAAAAAAAATATCTGCGAACAAATTAATTGATCATATCCGCTAAGTACAGCTCCTCTGGAGGCTATACTCTTCTTCATCTTGGAATGGGCAGCGAACAACGCTGCGAGTCATCAAGGTAATTCAAATTCAGTGAGAGTGCCAGATGACTTTTCAGAGGAGAGCAACAACGCTCAGGGAACGTTGTCACGTGATATTCTCAAGAGTGCTCAAGTTGCTGGCCTGGCTCCTAGCGTCCGCTGAGGTCTATCGTAAGATGAAACATGGAAGTGCGCCACTTCCCGCATTAATTGTTGGCACGGCGCAACAACGTTCTGCTAACTTCATACGAAATAAACGCTTCTTGGACAGTGAAATCATAAAAACAAATCTAAGAATTGTATACATGTGCATATATCTCACGGTCTAAATAAAATTGTTCAAAATTAAACACCTCGACATAGTAGTCTGAAAGTTTCTACAGCGATCTGCGCAAATCCTCAATGGATGTCGAGTTCATTTAATAGTCTACATGGCCTTGTCTTTGACCTTTCATCTAGAACCGAGCAGGACTGTTTTATCCACAATGATTTTAACAGGGCTCCTGTACTGGTTATAACAGATGAACTTCACTATTCAACCATTCCAAATATTTACAAGTAATCAGCCAACCGTGCGATCTCCCCAGCCCAGAAACCGCATGATCATCACTTCGGAAAGCGAGCAAATCACGCGCCATAAACACGAACACTGAAAATGAAATCAGCCAGGAGCCATTTCTTTTTAGAAGTGTCTATTTGTTAGGACCTTCTGATGATCTAAGTCATTATGGGTCGTTAAGCTCAAACTTACAAAATTTAAAGCAATTGCTCAGAAATTATTAATACATCAAACGTCTTTGAAATAAATAAAACCGAAGCCTAACTTCTTATTCTTTTTTAAACAGGCGTTAATATATTTTTTTTTAAATTGGAATCCGTAGGCGTAAGTATTATCAAATGCCCAATTTGATTCCATCGATTGCTGCTCCAGTTTTAAGAAGTGAAATTATATCTTTGATAAAACGAATTTAAATGCACGTTGCATGTTCATGTTGCACATGAAAACGATTTCCATGGATCGTTCTAGAAGGTTTCATTCCCTTTTTCACAACATGTAAGCAATATTTCGCGAATGTTTTTCCTACAAATGACGAGCAATCAACAATGCTTGCCTTGTCCACTCAGTTTACAGAAGTTGATGACTTTCAACTTTCACCTGATAGTTATTGGAATATACGCTTTGTATTTAAAGTATCCAAATTCACGGGCACCGAAGGACATGATTCCTCATGTGTTAAGATATACGCCGAAGTACAGATCTGCTCAAGTCTTTCTTAATTTATCTTAAGTAAACTCACACATGCAGGAACGGCACAATTGCCAATTAACCAATTATAGCCTAAAATATTTATATTTTCAAACGTAACAGTGGGTAAGAAGAGGACATTTCTCTGCACCCTTTTTATAAAGGGATATGTTCCTTTCTCCTTCGATGCCTCAGTATAGAATAATAGACATTTTTATTATTAGTTAGTATTCCGTAATTCAAAAAGCCAGCAGAAAAACAAATCTTAGTGAACTGTTCCAAAAGCTTAGCACGTACTTTAACAACTAGAGATCGATTCGAAAATTTAACAATAATTCCTATGTCAGCGAGACAGGGGCATAATATCTTTAGATTGTTTTATATTGCTTCCACCCGCAAATACAACATGATATTTTCAAACGCCATTTGACATTGAAATCAAAATCAAATAGTTCAATTACTCACTATTTAAACACGTCACGAAACATCCTATCTTTTTATTTATTTAGCCTGTCAAAGAATGACGCCATCTTCGATACATTTCCTTTTAAAATAGTTATTTATTCAGATGTCGTATGCTTTTTTCTTCTTCTTTTACCAGCCTGAGCCCGAGGGAAGGGAATGCATAACAATTACGCGCCTTAATGCAAAACAGAAGCTTAGTCATGACAACCGAAGTAAATTAAGTGCCCAGAAAGAATTCAACTATGTCTACTAAGCGAAGTTATTTGAAGATCGCTATGTTTTGCCGCGCTGGGAGCATAGAACGATATTGTAAACAAGACTAGGAAATTTTCACTATTTCCAAAGAACTTTTCCATTACACAAAACATCTCAGAGAAGGTTGACGCCTTTCTTCTTTTGAAAAGGCACAAGCCCTCTCCCCAGTGCTTAGTATATAAGCGTGTATGTTCCCGCTCATAAACCAATACGACTTATACACTTGTATCACCAGCTTTACATCAATCACCATGATTTCGGTAAGTAATTTGCATTAGTATTATGCCACTAAAACTACTGGTGTGCAATCCCCGGCTGTATTGTCAAAAAATCAAAGAGCATCTCTTTTTGTTTCGTTGATGTGAGCAGACTATCTGTAAACCATAAGCAACAATTCAATTGCCTGCATGCTCATGCGAAATTACCCCGTAAAATCACTTTATGGTAGGAACTTGTCTTTCTAAAAAGGTGTCACGAGCACCCTCAACATTAATATTGGATATATTTTGTTACCTCAGTGGTCAAATATTTTCATCTGGAAATATCATCTTGTGAAACCCACATATGCACTAACATTTATTTTAGTACGTAGCGCTAAATGACAAAATCAATACTATTTTGTGTCAAATGCCCCACTTATTAAATTCTGATCATATATCTCTCATTTCTGCAGTTCAGCACCAGTCTTCTTCTCGCTATTGCCGGCAGTGCTATCGCCGGCAACGTCCGTCCTTCCTACGGCTACGGTTATGGTGGCTCCTATGGCTATGGCCTCGGCGGTTCCTACGCCGTCGCAGGGTCCCCTCTAGTCTCTGGGGTGGCGGCTTACCACGCCGCCCCCTCCTACTCCGGCTACTACCAGACTGCTCCGGTCGGGCTGGCCAAGTACGCCACTTATCACGGCGCTCCGGCAGTAACGGCTGTTGCAGCGCATCCAGCATATGCCACGTATCGGACTGCGCCTGCTTTTGCTAGTGTCTACCATGGGGCTCCCGTCTACGCCGCCGCTTCTACAGTCTCCGGGTTGAACAGATACGCCAGGTACAGCGCAGCCCCTGTTCTTTCCGCCTACCACGCTGTGCCGGCAGTGTCCGGGTACGCCAAGTATGCCGCATACAATGCGGCTCCTTTAGCTGCTTACCACGCCGCCCCCGCTGTTGCCACCTACCACGCTGCTCCTGCCGTGGCCGCTGTCCAGGGTGTCTCCAGGGTCTCCAGGGTTGATCCATTCCACGCAAGCCACCAGACCACTGTTCACGCGACTCCAGCCGTGGCGGCCGTTCACGCTCCACTGTCTACCGTTGCCCACGTTCCGGCCTACGGAGCTTACGGATACGGAGTTGGCGCTCTAGGATACGGTCATGGACTCAGCACTCTAGGATACGGTCATGGCGTTCACCCTCTTGGATATGGACATGGTCTCTCCCCTTATGGTCACAACTACGCCTATGGCCTCGATAGCCTCAACTACAAGGCTCTCGTCCACAAAAAGTGTAAGCTGAAAATACATTGTAATATTTCTTCTCTTGGCTAGCACAGAAACAGGTTTATCGCGTAGGTTATTACAATAAGTTCTGACTCACTCGGTTACGCTTTCTGTATTTCAGAAAACAACATGCCAAGCATCCAGGGGGCACAAGCATCACGAACCACTGAAAAATTACTTCGATTGAACTGAAAATAAATACTACCGCTATCCTAACCAAACCGGCGTCTTGTTTTTGTTCCCAGCTGCATTCTCAAAGCAATTATATGGTGCAGAAGTTCAAACTTTTCATGAAACTAAGGCTGCTTATCTTAATTTATCGTAACACGTTTTTTTCTTGATTTGACTGTATCTTCTTTATATTTAGTATTTTTAGTCAATGAATCAATGAACCCGATTCAACCTTTGTTTAACGCCAAGCTACTTTACTTTGGCCTAAACTAGCTTTAAAAAACCAAGTATGGTCGTTTTCTTGTTCACCGCATGAGTGGCATATATCTGTCATACGTTAGACAAACATGGCAGGGGACAACCCAACATCCGGCATCCGGCATTCAAGCCTCACTCTCGCAATCGTTTGGTGATTTGAATCCAAAAGTGTCAAATGACAACTGAAGAACCCGTAGTGACGTTTAATTCTCGCATTTTCATAGCAACTGAGGCTCAAGGAAGTCAGGTGTGGGCCAGATAACCAGTTCAGTTGTTGGTCACTGTGAAAGAACTGCTAACGTTAAACAGAGAAGGCTACCCCTATAAAAATGGCTTCCGCCATTCAATATACATCTGACTGACATCCTATTGCCCCTATCGCCATTCGATTGCTCTCGCTTGAAATTTATGGACATGGTATTACCCCTTTATTGAAGTTTGGCACTGACGTGGTAGGCGCTACAATGGCAATCAAATGGCGAAAGAACCCTTTAGCGTCTTTTTATTGGCAGGTGTCAATACAGAATTCGGGTATCGTCTTTTTACACTCATCCTATTGTCAATCAAGCGCCCCCGGTGGCAGTGCAATGCCGGCCAAATTCTGCTGCAAGTAAATCAAACTTTAGGTACAAACCATAGTTATAATATACGCTAGAGGTTCAATTGGCTCTTTTGTTCCGCGGCAAATTGAAGAAAACCATACATGGCGAATTTCTTCCAAAATGTAATTTAATTACAATTACAATCATTTCGCTCCAAAAGTAGTTTAACCATAATTACAACTACTACTATGTGAAAAATAATTCATTACAATTACAAATTACATCAAAAAGTAATGCAATTACTTTACAATTACTTATTTCTGGGAGCGACCATTTTCGTCTATATAACTTTAAACAACATGTTAAGCATGCAACGCATTTCTTCATTCCTTGCCCAAATGTTTGAATCGCCGAATATATGTCACGAATTGTACATTTTTTTTGTAAATTTTCTTAAATTAATGAGAGAAGTTAACAATTTGGGATAATGAAATTCTACGTTCTTATATTTTCAAGAAATAATAATAAATTAGTTTATATACACGAAGACACCAGATCACTAAAATAAAATTGATTGACACACTTTTGTTAGCCAGGCAAGTAAAAATGTGACAATTAGCCATATCTGAATATTTTAATAGTGTTAATATATGACTACAATCTACATCCACACGCGCTAATACAACCATATTTACAGACAAACGTTTCATTTTTTCCTAAATTATTTACAGTGAGTTGAAATTACAATGGCTCAAACTCAAAAAAAAAGACCTGAATATGGGCTCCCGAATCCATCATGAAAATATCCACAGGTGCAAAGTCAGCTCAAAAATGCTTATGCAAATAATATCCGAAGTAAAACCAACGTAAAATAAACGTGAAAATAATACAAAAAAAATGCGACAGTACTCAAAGAGGGGCGCAAAAAAACTGGCAAACAAATAAATAAAAAAAATTACTTCATAGACCCTTGAAAACCTCAGCCTCGGCCGCCTTTTTTTTTTTTTTTTTTGAAATTTTGTTTTGTTATTTGACGATATTTACGACATTTCTTTTTTATGACTAACACTGAAAAAAAGAAAAGAAAAATGCTGTCGACGGCAGTGCTAAAAGCGCGAGCTCGTTGCTTTGGATCGCGCACCACGAGCGCTCCTGCAGCGGGTGCAGTCATGCCAGTCAAGGCTACTCGCTCGCCGCTTGCACGGCCTTCGCAGCTATTCTATGCAAGGGTGACAATCCGTCGTACTGCACACAAGTACAGCTCCAGAAAAATGCGTACGAAATTACTGCGGCTGGGCTCTGTCGCCTCCGGTACACGTAATCTTCATTTGCAACAGGAGTGACGGACGGCACCGGGCGAAGTTTGAAAATGGAGAACGCTTATTTTGATGTTCCTGAGAACGCGACGAGTACAGGCGGCAATGTTGACAACACGCACCAGCGCGGACACCGCCGAGCCGCCGAGCCGAGCACCCGGCCACACACACGCCGAGCTACCGACATTTCACAATGCAGTCAGCGGCATCCAAAGAAAACGTGTTGTTGACGTAGAAATAACTAAGATGTCAAAATAAAAGCTGCTATTTTTACGTCCATGACGCCATTGTCCACGCCCCCTGGATATCCAATCGGTGTCGAAAATACGCAGCCTCCGATTCCAAACCGAAACTGAAATCCAGTCGTAGTTGTGTGGCTAAGCGAAGTTTCGTATCCCGTATAAACCTTTTATTTTAATACATTTGTTTTAGTTTTTTAAGTTTGTTAAAACGTTTTATTGTTTCGGTTCGCCACTGTTTTACGAATAATGTTACGTTAACTTTTTTTATTTTCGCATTTATTATGCACCTCGAAACAAAGTCGTTTACAAGCCAATCCAATCCACCCTGAACTTCATTTGCGTCGAAGTTTCCGAAGATTTGTTGCGGTTTGGTGTGTCTTTTATTTTTTACGTAGAACTCATATCGATCCGATATGCCGCGTCCGAAAATGGATTTTGCGACTAATAAGTGGCGATGCACCACGCGAGCAAGAATGAACAGCCCTGGAGGTTATGGGCACTGCTCAATTGGCTCATTCCTCGGTGCTTCTCGAAGGTAAGCCTTTTTTTTCTGTGTCCTCCTAAGCTTCTGTTCAAGCATCTCCTTGGTTTGTTTCCTTGCCCTGCCTTTGCCTAATCGCGCCCGAGAAGTGTATTCTGACAGGTATTTTCCTTAGGCGAGCATCTCTCCTCGCGCTTTTCGTCAAGAGTAAAGCTATACGCACTCCGGAGTGCGCTTCGGACGGAAATGGCTATACGCACTCCGCTTTTCTCGTATAAAAAGAGTGGACACAACGAGTTTCCTAAGCGGTGCCATGGCATAGGGGTTAGGGTGTCCGACTCATACGCACGTAGACGCGGGTTCGATCCGTGGTGGGCCTACGTTTTTTTTTTTTTTTTTTTTTTTTTCCTCAAACATTTTGTTTTGTCGAGACATTTGGCGATATTTACGACATTTCCTTTTTTGCGATGAACAATAAAAAAAAAAAAAAAAAATCGAATGTTGTCGAGAAACTTCGCAGAACTAAATGGTATCGGACTCCCTTTCCGGAGGTGCGATCGGGGACAGCGGGGCTTGGATTGCCGGCTGGACGCCGCGAAGCGGCGTGTACTGGTTACGCTTTGTAATTAGCAGCCGATACTGTCGCCGCGAAGCGGCGTCCAGCCGGCAATCCAAGCCCCGCTGTCCCCGATCGCACCTCGAAAGGGAGTCCCATACCATTTAGTTTTGCGAAGTTTCTCAACAACACTCGATTTTTTTTTTTTTTTTTACTGTTTATCGCAAAAAAAAAAAAGAAATGTCCTAAATATCGCCAAATGCCTCGACAAAACAAAATGTTTGAGAAAAAAAAAAGAAAAAAAAGCAGGCACACTGCGGATGGAACTTGCGTCCACTTGCGTATGAAGCGGACACCTTGACCCCTATGCCATGCCTCCGCTTAGAAAATTCGTTGTGACCACTCGTTTTATGCGAGAAAAGCGGAGTGCGTATAGCCATTTCCGTCCGAAGTGCATTCCGGAGTGCGTATACCTTTATGCATAGCTGATCCAACCTGCATTCTCTTTTGCCATTGCCGGTAGCAAATTGTGTCTGTTTAGTATTGCACACCTGCCAACTTCCCCGTATTACCCAGAAGTCTTTTAAATTCTGTATGGTTGACAGAAAAACCTCCCGAAAAGAGAAATTACCCTCCCCCTCTCTTTTGTACTAAAGAGTTTTTGCCATCACTGTGGACGGCTGCAATCCCATGAGCATAGGCAGTGCAATATATAAATATAATGAAGTTGTCTTCATGCAAATTTGTTCTCAATATTTCCTTTTAAAACACCCCCCCCCCTCCCCTGCTTAGAAATTATCCCAAATTTGGTGTCCCCAAACTTGGAAGGTATGGTACTGTCTGTGCCTTTTCTATCTTGTGTCATTTATGTAACGTAATATATCTGTTCTTCATATTTATAATCGCTGCAGGCCTGGTCAAGGAGGAGTTGCTCAGTGAACTACTAGTTTGAGTTCCCTGAGACGGACACCACTGACATCACCTACAGTGCCGAGGTACAGGCTTAATGGCAGATATCAATAGGAGATGATGGTAAGCTGTCCTATTTATTTAGCAGTGTCGGAGTAACTCACTTGAGTTTTCATCACTGTTTTCGCTGGCAGTTTGTGGCCTGCACACAAAAATGGTCCATTAATTGTCCATGTCCATTAAAATTGATGCAGCCTTCACACTTCTGCGGTTTAGAGCGATTCGCAGACATATGTCGATCATAGTCGAAACAGCGTGGCTCATCATTAGAGTTGAATGCTGAGTTTCGCTTGGCAACTTTTTGGCCACTTCGATCACTACAAAACATTATTTGCCTTCTCAGGTACGCGTCACGTCTGTTTGGTTGGACAGCCACCAAGTTGACTTGGATGTCAGCGCCTGTTGTCATCAGAACCTGGTTCTTGTGCTGCCACATCATTTTTGGTGGTGGCGCTGTCGTCACCTCCCAGCGCTTGCGCTCCCCGAGTTCCCATTCAAGATGGTGAGTGGTATACTTGTGGGGGCCTCGCTGCTGCAGGTGCTGCCATGTAGCTCTGGCTCGTGGTGGCTCCACCGCCATCATTTGTGCTCCCTGTGATCCCAGCCGGAGTGGTGACAGGGATTATGCAAGGGCTTTTTGTCGCAGGTGCTGCCACGGACTTTGGCTCGTGGGGGTGCCGTCGCTACTGACAAAGCCTGTGCTCCCCGTCGTCCCTGTTGAAATGGTGGCTAGAACTTGGAGAGGGTTTGCCGCCACAGCCGGTCAGTTCAAGTTCCGCACATTCTGCCGTAGCCCTTGGGAATTCGTTCCTTCCATGTTGAGGTTCTAGTAGGAGAAGTCCACCGCTGTTGAGCTACATGTCACCACAGCAGTCAATCTGCAGAGGGGCATGGCCACGTGACCACACTTATGAAATGTTAGAGCCTTGTTGTGGACATGGAGGCCGGTGTGAGAGATTTAATATGCGTCTGGCACATCTGCCCGGTGAAAGAACTCATGGGTGTGCCACATGGAAAGTGAGCAGACTGTGCAAGTCTCTTTTACAAAATGGCGCTAACAATAGGTAGTGTCTGAATCATTCTTGTCTTACGTAGGTGATACTTTCTAGGCGTAATGTGTTAGTAGATAGCTATGGTGTTATTGCTTAACTCTGAACAAGATACAAAGTATGAGACATTTTCAGGCCAAGTAAAAAATTTCTGCTCACTTTAATCTTGAAGATCTTCCAGAGTTTCACATCATCCAGCAATCCTGAAGGCGATGCACCACATGTAATTATAATTAATATTCCCGCTCTTAGTTTACCAGGAAGGTGTTTAAAAAATTGTAAGTAGTGTTAGTTGCTTAGGAGAGCGATGTGTTGCACCTTGGCGTTCCATTCACTTTGGGATGAGGTGCTTCATTCTTGTGCGTCCTTGGTTGTTTCCTTAGCCCCTAAAGATGTTGGAGATTTATATGTTTTATTTTGGGGGAAACCATGTTATGTTAGTATCTGGCATGCTTTTTTTTATTGCTGAAAGCTGTTTGAAGTGAGCCTTTTGTCCACCTAAGAGCATAATGATTGGGAGCTTCACTCAGGTGTGTTTTCTGGCCACACCGCAGAGCATGATTGTAAGCATCGACGCATGCTATTGATACCATGATTGGGACTTCAGAGAAGATCAGTCAAGTCTTCCTATTTTTATTTCCATTGATTCTTTCTTTGGCATTCTAGATATCTTTTTGTAAACGTGTTCACGTAAGCTTGTTCAACTTTCTGGGTCATAGTATCGGGTCGTTCTGTAATTATCATATGCTTTATGCATTTGTCATTAGTCTCATCTGAAGTTGTCATGGGCACATGGCTGACACAGTTGGTGCTGCTTTGATTTGGAGGGTAAATATTGTCCGCCATAGGTCTAGCAAACTTCATATATTCTACACTTCAAAATTTTCTCGTAGACCTGATTACTAGGCAATAAGCTCCTTTTCAATATGTGCGTTTACTTAAATTGAAAAGCCAAAAGGCTTTTAATAATCAGCCACATGCAGAATAAGAACAGTGTTTCTGCCACCTAGTGTGGGAGAAAATGGGTGGGAGGGGATGGAGGCCAAAGCAAACGCAAGCAGTGTGAATACAACTCTAGGACTTATATGCGGGGTAAGTGAGGAATTTGAACTGTCTACCTAGACCATGTAGCTCACACATTTAGCAGAGGATAATTGGGTTTGATTTAACAAGGTATTGGGGTGGTTGTAAAGCTCCTATACAGCCCCGCATGGAGTCACCCTGCATGCACTGATCTAGACTGCTCGTTTCACATAGATTTTTGTGACCTATTGATCTAACTGCTTCTTTTATTTGCAAATTTTTGTGTTATTCAGGATAATTGGGAACCCAGCAAAAGGTTGGCATGTCATGGAGTAAACATGCCATTGTACAGTGTGCTTCACTCTAAAATGTAATGCATGGACAGTGGCCAAAGCTGATGACACTTGTCTAATGAGGAAATCAATGATACTGCACAAACTGAAGCATATCTTCCTGGGACCGTTGCCATTCCCCTATACAATTATTGCATGACCTCCTTGTTTTTTTTTTATTGCCCTCAGTTAATTTGACCAGGACTGGATTGCTGTTATCCTTAATGGGTCGGCGTGTCACGTTTATCTTGAGGTCCAATTAACGGGAAATTTGTTTTGATAAGTTAAATAAGGGGAACAACAAAATATTCAGAGCAATGTCTTTTTTTTTCTTTCTATTTTTTTGCATCACCGAAACATTTATTGGTCACCGCATTGAAACTGGGAGTGTAACGCACGAAGAGAACTGCAGTGTGACCCTCCAGTCTCTGCCGTCAGACGATGCACACATTCTGCAACGTAAGTGCAGGATCAGCTTCTTTTTTTTTTTTTGGGGGGGGGGGGGCGATTTTTCTGAGATGACATGAAAATGTTGTGGTCATCACCATCAAAGTGATTTGTTGTCTGCATGTTCCCTGCTTTAGTGACAAGGCCACTGACAAGCCGCTTCACGGGTACTAAATTGAACCGCTTGACAAGTTGCTCAAACAATAGTGATACATAAATGGCAGTACGAGGACAAGTTGAAGCACCACAAGTAGCGCTTGTCCTATCACTTCTTCAACTTGCCGTTGTCCATAGCACTATTTGTGTTTTTCTCCTCTTCATCTGCTTCATAAAGAGCAAATATATAAGGCTGCTTAATAAAATGACAGCGTCCGTCAAATCGGTAAACATTTCTCTGTAAAACATATTGCCCTGGCCAAGTCCAAGTCTCGTTTTCACGATGAGTCGCATAGTGAATCGGCTAACAATGGTTGATGAATATGATGTAGTTCTACTGAATCAGTAGCATACTTCAATCTCTCTTCTGCACAAAACCTATGTTTCGGAGCGATTGACATAGTGTTTTCTCGACAGCCGAGGGGCTTGAAGCAGGTGCTTAATGTCTGTGAGCCTCCACCATTGAAATTTTAACTTGTCACTTGCTCTAGAACTTGATAATGGAGCAATTGCAGATTTTATGAAGTTTGCGAAACCGACGTCGGAGACCTTCGAATGGGAAAGGTTTACAGGGCTAGAAAAATAATGACAGCACGTCCTCACTCACAATTATCTGTAATAAAAAGACGGTGCCCAAAGAACTGTAGCTAGTTTTAAGTGTCACTCGCTGAAGCGGTTTGTATATTGTGTTAATTCCTGCATTTTGCTGTTTTTTTTTTTCTGTGTCAGGATCCAGTGTTACATTCCTGTGGCTTTTTGGTTGTTTCCCAATTATTGAAGGGAGTTGCAGGCTTATCATGGGCGACATAGTGCTTTGGTGAGTGTACCTTTTATTTACTGCTTGGCCAATCAAATCGAGTGGCTTTGCAGGAAACTCTCTACAGTTTCAGGATGTTTGAGGGTGTGTTCTCCTTCAGACATTCTAAAATGGCACAAATTTTTTTGTGCTGCATCACTATACTCTGTTGAATGACCAGCTGAAATCGTAGTAGAAGCCACATGCTCGTTCGACCAGTCATATGTCTACCTTTCGCCATGTGTTACACTCCCGCCCATAACCATGTGTAGAAGGCGGGGTCAGGTAACGAGAGGGAGGTGGTTGATTGATCCGGTGGGTGCGTAGTTACCACCACAGTCAGCTTAGAGGTGAATGTTAATTACTCAAGCTTTAAATAGGTCACAGTACTCAAAGCTTGAGGAACACCTGAGAAGTTTTTAGAATGTTTTTATTTACCGTGTCTACTCGCTCCATGAGTCTCAAACTACGTCCAACTCGGCTAGCCATCAAGCCAATTTTCTTTCGCCGCCAAGCGGCCAGGCCACTTCAAACCATGCAAAGCATAGCGGTACATGCTTTCATGGCTGCAAGTGTGTTGTTGCGGATGTGATCAAGAGTGAAACCGAGCGGCGCATACACGTAACAAAGCTGGGGTCGAGGAATTGCCCAGCTTTGGACATGTTTCGCCCATCGAATGCATTGATGTCAACAAACACGCGGTCATCTGTAATGTGCTTTCGGACAGTGAAATCGTGAAAGTGGTTAGGCCTAAGGACGGTCGCGTCACTCACCATGCTGAGTGAGCTTCCCTAGTAAAAAAATCTTAAATGTATAAAAAATGTATGTCCAACAAACGCGTATGATCCAATAAGATCATATAAGAAAATACAAGAACCTTATAAAAACATGTAAGAACAATATAAATATATATTTGAAGTTATAAGAAACTTCTTTTCAGTTTCTTAAAACTTCTTATATAATCTTATATATTTCCTATATTGTTCTTATACGTTTTTATAAGGTTTTTATATGATCTTATTCAGTCATATGCTTTTATTGGACACCTAAATTTCTTACATGCAAGATTTTTTTACTATTCACTAGGAGGGCGCTTTTCCTTTGACAGAAGGCACACCGAAAGCACCCTAAAAAAGGTTTTCAAATTGTAGAACATGGTTATTGTAGCGCACCCACAACCAGCCGTCAATGCGCCTCCGTCAGTGGAGACATGCCACAGTACTTTGCCGTGTCATACTGCCACCTAAAATTACATTTTCGCGAAGTGTGTAAATGTAGAAATTTACCCTGCATAATGAACGCACCCCCGAAATATATGTCAATTTCAGAATAAAGAGGTGTGTTCATTATGTGGGTAAATATGGTAAAAAAGTGAATGATGACTCAAACAAATGCAAAACTCATACATTGGAACTTGAAAAAAATCACCAACCATATCCTACAACAAGGTCCCAACGTTTCAAAAACAGCTTGTTTTTTTCTTCAGGGGTGACTGCTTCCAGATAGGGGACAACAGCTTCGTTTTCTTCTACGATAGTCTCTTTTTTTTTTTCACTTCGTTAGGTGGCTGAGTCCGTTCACGTAGCATGATGGCAATGTGCCAGTGGACCTATTGATGTTTCCTGGTGTTGTTTGGATATTCCATGACTATAAAAAGCTGCTGGCAAAAGTTTGTCTCAACATTTATGAGGGTGTTGGCAAAGTTGATGCGATATTCATTGTCCTCACAGTGCTCTGCAACAGCGCTGCGCTCGTGGTCGAATTTGCAGTTGTTTTTGTGTTGTTGAATTCTTTCTGGGAAGTTCTTTGTTTTTCCAATGTAGGTGGCATGGAATTGAATATTCAATGCCCTGGGCTCTTTGTTTAGAGGGATGACCTTTAATTCGCAGCATCATACGTCAAAGTGTTGATACCAGTTTGTGGGACACCTGAATACTTTCTTTTACCAGCATACATGACAGCGCTTCGCTTGTCCCCTTTATGTAGGGAACACAGATGCGGGTGTGTGGACGGATGTTTTTGAGTTTTTAAGCTTTCTCCCGACCAGGCAGGCCTCTGCCAAAATGTTTACCCTCAAAACTTGCACTGCATGTAGTAATGGCTCTTGGTCTACGAGAATTTTTGTTTTAGTTTTGTGTTTGTTGAGCATTATTGGGCAAATGACAAAGGCTATGCCGCCTCATTATGACCACAGTAAAAAGAGCTATACACTTGATAACATAGTCCTGTCATGTTTTGGCTTTGAAAAAAATGTTAACACACAAGATTAATCTATTTCTTGACCCCTTGACTGGGGACCCTAGACCAAAAAAAATTTTATTTGTCCCTATTTTGCCTATATTTTTTTGTACGAAACTTTTCTTGTGCTATCATCATAGCTTTAATATATAAAGGAAAATTATTTCCGATGTTAGGGGATAGATGGTGCTTCCTCCCGTACGATAAAAGGAGTGAGCGTTTAAAGACGCACTCCCCAAACTGATTGAAGAGTGGTGCATCTACGAGTGCGCCCCCCAGGCTGCTGTTAAAATTGCCAAGCATCCAAAGATCTTATCAAAAGTAATAGATAAATCTTTGTCTAAGGTGAAGTGAATATTTACATTAAATTCAAGTAATGACGCAATAACAACATGGCAGTGCCCACAAGCTGCATGCGCATGAACGAATTTCACCATCCAAATGGATGAATGACCCTTTTGGCAGAACTGGACAATGAGGAAAAGGGTACCAATACTTGAGTGTAGCTTTCTAGGGGCTATTATCATTTTAAATTGCAATTCTCATTTGCTCTTTCAGCTCGCACCTTCACGGAGTACAGCAATGTGGGGAAGCAAGTCGAGGACAGCCTGTCTCGATTTCTGTCCCGGGGGCGCTATGCTCTTCCAGGTAAGCTGCTTCCCTCTCTTAAGAGACACGAGTAGACCCCTTTATTCAAGACAAGAATGACGATAATAATCACATCAAATAAAATGGGGAACAAGGGGACAAAGGAGATTCCTCTTTGACCTTTCTCCCCCTTGTACCCCTTTTCCAGGGATTATTATTGTATTCATACTTATTACATTATTGTGGAGTTCACATTTTGACAACCTGTGGTTGGCTGATGTGTTGTGGAAGTTAAAGCTATTGCACTTTCAAACATTGTGTGAAATACAGTAGAACCCTGCTGCTGCATCTTTATGCAGTCGCAATAAAGGATCATGACATGAGCGAAGATGTAACAACTGATAATGCCCTTGGGATAGCTATAGATGTTTCAGGAAGCTGTATTCTCTGTTTATCTTACCTTAGCTTTTATGGCTGTAAAAAAGATTGCCTTATTTTATATGTTGACAATTTTTTCAACACTTCTTAAAATTGTGGTTGAACTATAAGTAACACACTGTTTACAGACAAGCTTGTGTTTGCCCACAGCAGCTATGGGCACTGCATACGCAGGAACTAGATTCGTGTGAGCAGACATGTGTGTACATGTGCTGTGCCGACAGCCGCGCCATCGCAGTGATGCGTTGTCTATAGTTGCAGTTAAAAAAAATATTGAAATATAAGGATGCAAAAATTCTGAGCCCATCGAGCTAAACCACAGCTGCCTCAAACAAATCACTGCACCCTGCATGCCACATCAAAGCAGTGGGGCTTGATGCAATCAGCACGGCTTGAACATGGTGGCATGGAGGTGGTAAAGAAAAATGGGGTGTCGTGAGAGCCTGAATCTCTTATTGTCATACAAGACCAAGCAAGAAACACAGTGCAGAGAGGCAAGGAGGTAAAATAAAGGGAGTAAAGCAAAAGGAACAGGGTATGTGTTTCTAGTAGTCATGCCGGCCACCGTGAGTGGCAGTGTTTGGGCATAAGAACCAAGAAGGAAATTCATGAAGCCTGTAATTCTAACACATATATACTTTTGGACGTTCGATAGGACCGGTTTTCGTGAAGATAACAGCCGAGAAAACATGTGAGCAAGGTTCTTCAGTGCATATTTTTGAATGTGCTGCAAGAATATTTCTGGTTATATGCCCACTTAATTTATAATGTTTTTCTTCTTTCAGCTGACACCTTACAGACATGTCAGGAAGCAAGGAAAGGTTATTTTTTCACTCATCGTTTACATTTGGGTGATTAACTTAGTCTTGAAAAAAAAACACGTCATTTTAATGACATTGTGATAAATAAATTTTGGGTCTTTAAATTGTCCTTCAATTTTTGTTTTCTTCCCATATTGCAAGCCGGCACTATGTGTATCAGGCATGGAATCAATGGTAGGCCATGTAAACTATTGCAGTTTTTCTGCTGGCCAGCTTAAAGTTTACGAGGGGTTGACAATGGCGAAATGGTCACGAAATTCGATCAAATGACGTCTATGTGATAATTATGCTCTTATAAAAATGGTTGATGCCATTTTGTATTATTGCCAAATGGCAACAGGTGTTTAAGAGCAGTCAATCAGCAGGCAACAGATGTTAATCGTCATTGAGATGTCATCTTGTTCACCCGGATAGCCATTTCGCCACCGTCAACTTTTTGCTGTTCTATTGGTTATTGTCGGTGCATTGCCAGTGTATCTACATGCTAATGCTAATTGGCTATTGGAGGCAGTCAAAAGACTATAAAATGTATAGTCCTTTGATTGCCTCCTTTAGCCATTTAACGTTAACATGTAGATACACTGATGATACACCGACAATAACCAATAGAACGGCAAAAAGTTGACGGTGGCGAAATGGCTATCCGGGTCAGCAGGGTGACGTCTCAATGACGATTAACATCTGTTGCCTGCTGATTGACTATTTGTAAACGGCTGTTGCCATTTGGCAATAATATGACTTTCAAATGGCATTAACCATTTTCATAGGGGTAACTTTGGCTTTTTTTAAAATTTTATAACGAAGCTGTCAAGTCTGGCTACAAAATTATAAACTTCCGCTCTTTCTTTGATCGTTTGTGGCCTTGAACTTGCGTTAATATAAAAACTCCAACTTAACGTCAAAATCTTTCACGCATGACCGCAAATGTATCAAAAGTTACATCTTAAAGCCACATATAGCGTAGATTGACGCAATACACGCACACTGTTAGGCATGGGGGATGCTCCGCACCAAAATAAAATCGTTCGCACATACAGTATATCTTCAGCAAACAAACACAAAGTGAACGTTTAAATTATTTGTTTGTTGCCTGTGTTTTCTCATTTCTTCCGCTGGCCCAAATATTTTATTGGGTCGTGTTCCATTGTACTGTAATACGGGAGGGCGCCACGAGAGCGCAAGACACGAGAGCGCTGACGGTAGAGCGCGCAACAGCATACTGCCGCGACAACAGCAGTCTAAAGAAAATGGTGTAGTCGGGTGCATCTGGTGCACATGCACGCTTTTCCTTAAAGGCCGACGTACAACCTCGGTTTTTTGCAGGGAAGATAATCCTCTTAGCTCTCCCCTCTCATGAACTGCGAGAAGAGCCTAGTTGGGGCAAGGTAAAAAGTGGAGAGGATATAGGAAAGGAGGAATCGGAAAAAGTGGAAAGCGCAAAGTGTACGTCGGCCTTTAAAGATGCATCCTCCGTCACCCAGCCAGTGTACTAGTACACCGACAATGAGCGTCCTCCTCTCCCTTAGAAACCTCTAGGTGTATCAATGCAGCGCCACGCTAGTCACGCGCCCCGATCAGCTTGTGTTTGGATTCCCCCTTGGGGTCACTTTTTGGTTGGGCAGTTTCTTAGGAAGTATGGAGCTGTCCTGTTCACTCTGTATTGACAGTAGAGTAGACGCTATGCTTGTTTTAGGCCGATCGGGTCTCCGGGTAGAATCACGTGACTACAGTCTCCAAGCTAGAGATAGGGCAGAGAACGGCACCTGCCTGAAAGCCAAGGCCACGGATGACATCCATTGCACTATGACCTTTGGGTCGAACTTTCAAGAGGATACAAGTGGTAAATCCTCTCGTTGTGCTCATTGTTGGGATGCCCCTGAAGATAAACCTTTGCGAGGGCAGCCCCCTTTTGGCTTTGAAGGAGCTGGTATTTTCCTACCCCTCTCTTTTTTTTTCTACCTAAGCTGAACGCGTAAAAGATGCGCAGTCGCCGGACCAATGAATCGGAGGCTTTTTTATCCCTCGACTTCACTGCCTGTGCCCGGGTAACGGCAGGAGCGTGATCATGTGGCAAAAGTTTCACGAATGACGTAGAAGCTCTTTCCGACCGCGGAATGTCTGCTTCCCGGCCTAGTTTCTTGTGTGCTGTGCTGCGACCAGCGGGGCTGCCGGAGATTTCGTCCGCGACAACGTATTCGAGTGTACCAAGGCTTCGAGTGTTTGAAAAGTCATACGTGTATATTGGCAACAAGCGATTTCTTCAAAAAAAAAAACCCAGCAATTTCTGTGATGCGTTTAGTGTTCGGTTCGGCAAATTACTGCTTCTGCCACATTGTGTTGAATGTTCGCAGACACCTTTCTTTTCGTTTTTGTGTTTGTGTGGTTGTTCCGCAGTGCCCGTGTCATCATATATCTCGGTTTGCATATTTCAAGTCCAGTATTTTCATCGTAAGGGCGCTGCAACCTACTCCTTTGCAACAAATGACCGTTCCGTTCCCGATTACCTCTAAAATGAGGCAGTGTCTATTTCCTAGCAGCCGGGAGAATAATTTCCCCAAATTCTATTGGCAGTCGCCTGTCATTAGTTGTCTACAATCACGTGACAAATGCAGGTAGAAAGCTGACTTTCTTATTCTCCCGGCGTTTTGTGAAAATACGTTTCATGCATACCTTTTCGTTGATACACATTTTGTAGACACGTTTCGTCGATAATAACGTTTCATCATCACTCGTTACGCGAAAGGCACGATGCAGGAACATTTCGTCAATCGTGTATCTCCGAGGCGCGTGCCTCACCGACCCAGCCCACCCGTTCACGCCGCTTCGTGGTGACAGCCTGTGACGGTTCATTACAAAAATGTTAACGCACCTGTTCCACCAGAACACGTCGCTTCTCGGATACAGTCTGGAGCGGCTAATATAGGAAAGCTAATCTGAGCTGTCTATGAAACATCGCGTGTCGATGAAACGTCGTTCGATGAAGTGATTGTACCACCAGTGAGTGGCGATTGCCGGTGTAATTTCGGGGAAACAATTCTGCCGGCGGGTGGCAAAATAGACACTAAGGCTCACCCTGCTTTTTTTGCTTACTTAGGGCCGGTTGCACCAACGTCGCTTAGCGCAAAGCGGAGCTTAGCCGGGAACTTAAGCTTAGTTTCGGTTTCGTTCGGTTGCACCAAACTCGCTTATCGCTAAACCTAGCACTAAACTACGCTTAACTTAAGCGCCCAACATTGGGCGCTTTGCTTCTGGTTGTTTCTTAATCCTGGATTAAAAACATGGCGGCTGGTTTGTCACGGTCGACGCGGTGGACGAAATTGGTTGTGCAAAGTGTTTTAGGCTACATCAGCGTGAAAGTCTCGACAAAATGACTTTCGATTGTGACAAGGATGCAAAATATTGTCGCGTGAAGTGTTTATCGACCCCTGTTTTCAAGTTGGCTCTCCACTTTCAGGGCGTGTTAGCCCTAACCGAGAAACGTACGGAGCTGTGGGGCTCACGTCTGTATTCCCGTTGGTTCTTCTGTCAACGAGCTTATTCGTATGTACTTACTAATTTTCGCATAGCTGTAACGTATTGTTATTTACCACCTTGTTTATTTACACTTGCAGCGCGTATCGTTCAATCTGATCAGCGCGTTGAATAGTGGCAGTACATGATCTCGGCGATCAGCTGATTGTCGACACCTCTGCCGTTTGCATTAAATTGCGGCGCTTTTAAGTAATAAAACAGCGAAAATTCGATTTCTTTCGTTTTCTGAGTTTTGAGACAATCTTCAGTGAATTTTCCTTGTCTCGCGAGTAGAATCTTGGCTTCAGAAAACTGTATCGTTCCATAACTGTAACTTTTTTAGTCATCGCATTATTTTTGTATATACTTTGCTTTATATCTTTCATTCGTTTCCCGAGAACGAGATAGTGTTGTTTCCGAGTTGTGCTCTGTGATGGTGTTTTCCCTTTACTTTTGTCGTTTGTTGTCATTGTGACGATGGTTGAGACTATATACCGAAACACGTTTTCAATAAAATTCAGTTGAAAGTTGCGCCTTGTTGTGTCCTCCGTAACTTTTTTGGTGATCGCGATTTTCTAGGAATATTTTGCTTTATATCTTTCATTCGTGGTGACGACAAATCGTAACGACTACTATGTTAGATTCGTTCATTGCTGTATCGGGGCAGGCTGGGGCAGGTGATGCGAAGAGACGACCGTTCTTATCGGCACGATGTGATGTACTAGTGGGGTTTTTTTGTTTTTTTTTCTGAACTCGACAGTGTGAAACTGAAGTCCGTTTGAGGCTGTAGCGGATGTTCAACGACGGTACAGTGCAGTTCTGTCACCTTGCTGATAGCAACGAGTACCGTCGATGCAAGGACTCTTGACCTGACCTCTCGACGACTTCTATTCGAAGATTTCCGGGCATTTTCGCAGCTGCCGTGGCGAGTTCGTCACAGTTTTGAACTTCATCGGTCTCAGGCTTGACTTGGTTTTAGTAGTCATCTTACCTGCCTACTTATATCCATGATGTTTTGTCTTCAGCGATGTAGTGAGTAGAGTGTCCTTCTCGCGTTCGGTGAGTTTTGGGGCCCCCGATGGCTCCTTCGCCTCAAAATGTCAGCACGAAAACTACTACCACTGTCAAAATATCCTGTTATCAACCGATATTAAACACACAATCACAGATGTAAAGAGCATTCGTGTTTATTTGAAGCTTTGACTTCTGTTATTGCAAGTTAAACGAAAAAATGATTGAATTTGGAGACCTTTAATTTGTTACTCACCGAAGAAATACAGCCAAAAGCAGACGCCGACGACGACTACTACGGCAGGTTTTTTTTTTTTTTTTTTTTTTTTTTGTTTACATCACGTGATTCCTCTCCGCCAATCGTATTCGTCGCTCTGAGCGTTCCCTAGTTTGCTCTGTTTGTCCCTAGATTCCCTACGCAAATCCAGCGTTTAGCTAGGGGCGCGTCAGTAAAGCCGGCTTAACCTTGGTGCAACCGGAATTTAAACCCGTGCTTACCTAAGCTCGGTTTAGGGCGCTAAGCCGGCTTAGGAAAACGCCGCTTTGGGTTAAGATAAGCGACGTTGGTGCAACCGGCCCTTAGTAATCTTCTCA